GGAAACAATAAAATAATAAAAATATAAAACAATAAAATTATTATTCTTGGTTTCTTTGGATAAAGTCACCACGTAGAAGGGAAACAATAAAATAATAAAAATATAAAACAATAACATTATTATTCTTGGTTTCTTTGGATAAAGTCACCACGTAGAAGGGAAACAATAAAATAATAAAAATATAAAACAATAAAATTATTATTCTTGGTTCTTTGGGTAAAGTCACCACGTAGAAGGGAAACAATAAAATAATAAAAATATAAAACAATAACATTATTATTCTTGGTTTCTTTGGATAAAGTCACCACGTAGAAGGGAAACAATAAAATAATAAAAATATAAAACAATAAAATTATTATTCTTGGTTCTTTGGGTAAAGTCACCACGTAGAAGGGAAACAAAATAATAAAAATATAAATCAATAAAATTCTCACGACGTTTCGACTGCAACACAAGAAGCAATCATCATCAGGTGTGAAAACCACAGCAAGAACCACTTTTTTCAAATTTTCTTTGCTGTGGTTTTCACACCTGATGACGATTGCTTCTTGTGTTGCAGTCGAAACGTCGTGAGAATTTTATTGTTTTATATTTTTATTATTTTATTGTTTCCCTTCTACGCGGTGGTGACTTTACCGACAAAACCAAGAATATGAATCCCTGCAGTCAGGAAAGCTTTAAATCAGAAAGCCGTCCCTTGGTGTGGACCAATCAGTTTCAAGGACAAATGCATCGCATATCATCATAGTAATGTTTTTTTTTAATCTGCATTTTGACCGCAGGTATTGTGGTTAATGCGGTAAACACGAATCCTCGTGAAAAAAAGGTTTCAGTTTTGTTTTGCCAGAAAAAAGGGGAAAACCGCTATTATCATTTAAAAAAGAAACCACACTCTGATAATATATACATGTATATGCCATTGTACTTGGAAACCGATTTGGTCCGCACTAGATACGGCTTTCGTATGAGCCTGGTCTCAAAACGGTGTTAGTCCAGAGGATGCCAAAAGGCGTCACACAGCTCAAAGACAATGCCGCTGTCAAAGTAGTAACGAGGGCTCGGGGTGAGCATCTACATCATGAGGACCTCCGTCGCCAGCAACAAAACATGAGAATGGAAAGCTGTCCCTGGTGCGGACCAATCAGTTTCAAAGTGCAATGCCACGTAAATATTATCAGAGTACGTTTTCCGTTCGATTTCTGACCTACAAGCATTGTGGTTAATGCAGTAACGTGAGTCCTTGGAACATCTTAACACAGTTGTTTTGTTGCCGGAAAAAAGGGGAAAACCCATTCTCATCTTTTGGTACTGGCAAAGGAGGTCCTATGATGAGATGCGTAACGTGGTTGAGCGATAGGGAGCCATCCCTTGACCGCACCCGGGCATCGATCAGCCTCCCATTGTATCTGCACCAGATGGAGATTCCCCCGGTACAGCTATTGAAGGCTTCACGAACTACGTGGTTGAAATAGATATTAAACAATGTGGGAGCCAGAGGACATCCCTGTCGCACCCCAAGGTGTACAGCGAATGGCTCTGACTCCCGGCCACGTAGTTTTACCCGGGCCCGCTCACCATCATGAAGGTCCTTAATGATCGCGAGCAGAGGGTCAGGGACTCCGAAAACACGAAGAACAACCCAGAGCCCAGGCCTACTGATGGTATCATAGGCCTTGGCCAGGTCAATAAAGCAGAGATGTAGGTCTTGTTGTAATTCCCTACACCTCTGCTGTAGCAGACGGACAGAAAATATGGAATCTGTGCAAAACCCCCCTTTCCTGAAACCGCATTGGGGCTCTGCAAGCCTCTCCTCAGCGTGCCTGGCAAGGCGATGTTGAATAATCCTTGCCAGGACCTTTCCCGGCACACTGAGGAGTGAGATGCCCCTGTAGTTGTTACAGTCTGTGCGGTCCCCCTTCATAAAGAGGGGGACCACCAGGGCATCCTTCCAATCCTGCGGAACCCGTCCAGTGGTCCAGACTGTTGTTTTGATGTCATATAGGGCAGTCTGTGCACAAACGCCACCCTCCCTCAGTATTTCGCTTGGGAGATCAACTCTGCCTGGTGCCTTTGCTGGTCTCAGACTCCGGATCGCCTTCAGTACTTCCTCAACAGATGGCACCTCAGCCAGCCACTCACAGGGGGTGACTTTCTCTTCCAATATTTGAGGCACCGCAGCCTCAGCAGGGTCATCCTCACTTTGTGCCACAATGTTTTCCAGGCTGAGGGATTTCCCCTCCTCCAGGACCTCAGAAATGCTCAGCAAATCTGCAAACCTATTCCTTGGGGTCGGAGATTGGATCACCGTTTTTTCCCTTAATGATGTTAATAGGTGTGGCGCTGCAGGTTACTTTGTTGATAGAATTAAAGAGCGATTTGTGATCGAGGGCCATTAAGGCAGACTCCGTCTCCTCAGCAACCGACGACCACCACCCATCCTTGCAGCACCTTATGGCTCTCTGAACCTCCTAGCGAAGGCTGCGGTAAGCCTCCTCATTCTCTGACGTGGGATAATGTAGACAATGAGAGTGGGCCTGTCACTTTTACTCAGCCAGCCTGAACACCTCCTCTGTCAGTCAGGGTCGCTGATGAAGTCTGGACCATGTACCCAAAGCAGCCAATGCAGCTGCATGAGTCACAGTCCTAAACCTCACCCATTCCCGTCGACATCAGGAGGAGTGGGGGGCGATGCCAACCCCATCCGCAAGCGATGATGAAATTCTCGCTTACAACTTTCATCAGCTAGCTGAGACCAGGCCACCTTAGGTGTTAATGGGGTCCAGGGTGTACACCCACCACCGGAGTGGAAGAATGGCAGGGGCATCTTACAGATTGACAAGTCGATGGTCAGTGGGCAGATCAGCTCCACGGTAGGTCCTGGTGTCAAGGACATGGGCTCGCATCCGCTGGTCCGTCACTACATAGTCCAGCAGATGTTCATGCTTGGACCCGGCATGCATCCATGATGTGGTGTGGATGCGCCAATGCCGGAACAGCGTGTTGGTAACTACAAGCCCATGGGCTGCACAAAAATCTAGCAGCCTCCTGCCGTTGTTATTGAGCTGATCTGGCCTATCCCCTCCAATCACTCCAGACCAGGTGCCAGTGTCATGACCAACTCGGGCAATGAAGTCACCCAACATGATGACTCTATCCCGAGGGGCCACTTTAGCCAGCACCTGTGACAGGAGGTCATAGAAGGCATCTGACTCATCGGCTTTGCCTGCATCCCTCCACGGATGTTCATCTTCGGTGGGGGCATAAGTAACCACGACCACCACTCCTCGCCTCTAGTTGATGGGAAGGCGAGCCCAAAGTAGCCTGGGGCTTACAGCTTCCCACACCTCACCATCACGCTCCCACGCCCCCTTCATTATTTTGTTCAGAAGAGCCTATCCCTGTTGTTTGGCAGTCTGCTGCCACGAGTAGAGGACTGTCCACCCCTCATGGTGGCAGGAGCCAGAGCCGGTCCACCGGACCTCCTGAATGCCACAGAGATCCAGGCGGTACCGGTCCAGCTCCCGACAGAGGAGTGGCAGCCTCTCCTCCGCAGTGAGCGTTCGAACATTCCACGTGGCCACCCTCAGTGGCTTTTCGTTGTTTCTGGAGGAGCCCCGAGGGTAGAGATTCAATCTCCTGGCTCCGCCAATTGGGGTTTGGCCAGGAGACATCATAGACGCCTGTCCCCCCGGGGCCTCCGGCACAAGCTTAATGAATGTTTTACCTCGTGGTTTAGTGGTAGGTAATTGAAGGTGGAGGGGTTACCAGTCCCTCGCAAAAATCCAGAGCCCACAAATAGCCGCTGTGGTGGTTACAAACGCCTTGAGTCGAAACCCACACATACACACAGACATAGAGAGAGAAAAATATACAGGTGAGTGTCGTCTAGGTGAGTGTCTGGGTGAGTGTCTGGGTGAGTGTCTGGGTGAGAGTTTGGGTGAGTGTCTGGGTGACTGAGTGACTGGGTGAGTGTCTGACTGAGTGTCTGGGTGAGTATCTAGGTGAGTGTCTAGGAGAGTGCCTGGGTGAGTGAGTGTCTAGGTGAGTGTCTGGGTGAGTGAGTGTCTAGGTGAGTGTCTGGGTGAGTGTGTGTCTAGGTGAGTGTCTGGGTGAGTATCTGGGTGAGTGTCTGGGTGAGTGTCTAGGTGAGTGTCTGAGTGAGTGTCTGGGTGAGTGTCTGGGTGAGTGTCTGGGTGAGTGTCTAGGTGAGTGTCTGGGTGAGTGTCTGTGTGAGTGAGTGTCTGGGTGAGTGTCTGGGTGAGTGTCTGGATGACTGAGTGTCTAGGTGAGTGTCTGGGTGAGTGTCTGGGTGAGTGTCTGAGTGAGTGAGTGTCTGGGTGAGTGTCTGGGTGAGTGTCTGGGTGAGTGTCTGGGTGAGTGTCTGGGTGAGTGAGTGTCTGGGTGAGTGTCTGGGTGAGTGTCTGGATGACTGAGTGTCTAGGTGAGTGTCTGGGTGAGTGTCTGGGTGAGTGTCTGGGTGAGTGTCTGGGTGAGTGTCTAGGTGAGTGTCTGTGTGAGTGTCTGGGTGAGTGTCTGGGTGAGTGTCTGGGTGAGTGTCTAGGTGAGTGTCTGTGTGAGTGTCTGGGTGAGTGTCTGTGTGAGTGTCTAGGTGAGTGTCTAGGTGAGTGTCTGGGTGACTGTCTAGGTGAGTGTCTAGGTGAGTGTCTGGGTGAGTGTCTGGGTGACTGAGCGTCTAGGTGAGTGTCTAGGTGAGTGTCTGGGTGAGTGTCTGGGTGACTGAGTGTCTAGGTGAGTGTCTAGGTGAGTGTCTAGGTGAGTGTCTGGGTGAGTGTCTGAGTGAGTGTAAAGGTGAGTGTCTGGGTGAGTGTCTGGGTGAGTGTCTGTGTGAGTGAGTGTCTGGGTGAGTGTCTGGGTGAGTGTCTGAGTGAGTGTCTGGGTGAGTGTCTGAGTGAGTGTCTGGATGACTGAGTGTCTAGGTGAGTGTCTTGGTGAGTGTCTGGGTGAGTAAAGGTGAGTACCCCCTCCCCCCTGTATCCCAGCCTGGTGAGCGTGCTACCGCTGGTGGTGAGTGGCGCCGGGGTGAGCGTCAACCCCCACAACATCACCCGCATCCTGGACAGCCTCCTGCGGGGTTATGACAATCGACTCCGCCCAGGATTCGGAGGTAACATCACTAGTAGTATCACTAGTAGTAGTATCACTAGTAGTATCACTAGTAGTATCACTAGTAGTATCAGTAGTATCAGTAGTAGTATCAGTAGTAGTATCACTAGTAGTATCACTAGTAGTATCACTAGTAGTAGTATCAGTAGTAGTATCACTAGCAGTATCAGTAGTAGTAGTATCACTAGTAGTATCACTAGTAGTATCACTAGTAGTAGTATCACTAGTAGTATCAGTAGTAGTATCACTAGTAGTATCACTAGTAGTATCAGTAGTAGTATCACTAGTAGTATCACTAGTAGTATCAGTAGTAGTATCACTAGTAGTATCAGTAGTAGTATCAGTAGTATCAGTAGTAGTATCACTAGTAGTATCACTAGTAGTAGTATCACTAGTAGTGGTAGTATCACTAGTAGTATCAGTAGTAGTATCAGTAGTAGTATCAGTAGTATCAGTAGTAGTATCACTAGTAGTATCACTAGTAGTATCACTAGTAGTAGTAGTATCACTAGTAGTATCAGTAGTAGTATCACTAGTAGTATCAGTAGTAGTATCAGTAGTATCAGTAGTAGTATCACTAGTAGTATCAGTAGTAGTATCAGTAGTAGTATCACTAGTAGTATCACTAGTAGTATCAGTAGTATCACTAGTAGTATCACTAGTAGTATCACTAGTAGTATCAGTAGTAGTATCAGTAGTAGTATCACTAGTAGTATCAGTAGTAGTATCACTAGTAGTATCAGTAGTAGTATCACTAGTAGTAGTATCACTAGTAGTATCACTAATAGTATCACTAGTAGTAGTATCAGTAGTAGTATCAGTAGTAGTATCACTAGTAGTATCACTAGTAGTATCAGTAGTAGTATCACTAGTAGTATCAGTAGTAGTATCACTAGTAGTATCACTAGTAGTATCAGTAGAAGTATCACTAGTAGTATCACTAGTAGTATCACTAGTAGTAGTATCACTAGTAGTATCACTAGTAGTATCAGTAGTAGTATCACTAGTAGTATCAGTAGTAGTATCACTAGTAGTAGTATCACTAGTAGAATCACTAGTAGTAGTATCACTAGTAGTATCACTAGTAGTATCACTAGTAGTATCACTAGTAGTAGTATCACTAGTAGTATCACTAGTAGTATCAGTAGTAGTAGTATCACTAGTAGTATCACTAGTAGTAGTATCACTAGTAGTATCAGTAGTAGTATCACTAGTAGTATCACTAGTAGTAGTATCAGTAGTAGTATCACTATTAGTATCAGTAGTAGTATCACTAGTAGTATCACTAGTAGTATCACTAGTAGTAGTATCAGTAGTAGTATCACTAGTAGTATCACTAGTAGTATCACTAGTAGTATCACTAGTAGTATCACTAGTAGTATCAGTAGTAGTATCACTAGTAGTATCAGTAGTAGTAGTATCAGTAGTAGTATCACTAGTAGTATCACTAGTAGTAGTATCACTAGTAGTATCACTAGTAGTAGTATCACTAGTAGTATCAGTAGTAGTATCAGTAGTAGTATCACTAGTAGTATCACTAGTAGTAGTATCACTAGTAGTATCAGTAGTAGTATCACTAGTAGTATCAGTAGTAGTATCACTAGTAGTATCACTAGTAGTATCAGTAGTAGTATCACTAGCAGTATCACTACTAGTAGTATCACTAGTAGTATCACTACTAGTATCACTAGCAGTATCACTAGCAGTATCACTAGTATTATCAGTAGTAGTATCACTAGTAGTATCACTAGTAGTATCAGTAGTAGCATCAGTAGTAGTATCAGTAGTAGGAGTGTCAGAAGTAGGAGTATCAGTAGTAGTAGTATCACTAGTAGTATCACTAGTAGTATCACTAGTAGTATCAGTAGTAGTATCAGTAGTAGTATCACTAGTAGTATCACTAGTAGTATCACTAGTAGTATCAGTAGTAGTATCACTAGTAGTATCACTAGTAGTATCACTAGTAGTAGTATCATTAGTAGTATCACTATTAGTATCAGTAGTAGTATCACTAGTAGTATCACTAGTAGTAGTATCAGTAGTAGTATCACTATTAGTATCATTAGTAGTATCACTAGTAGTATCAGTAGTAGTCGTATCAGTAGTAGTATCACTAGTAGTAGCACTAGTAGTATCACTAGTAGTAGTATCACTACTAGTAGTATCACTAGTAGTATCACTAGTAGTAGTATCACTAGTAGTATCACTAGTAGTAGTATCAGTAGTAGTATCACTAGTAGCATCACTAGTAGTATCACTAGTAGTAGTATCACTAGTAGTATCACTAGTAGTACCACTAGTAGTAGTATCACTAGTAGTATCAGTAGTATCACTAGTAGTATCACTAGTAGTATCACTAGTAGTATCACTAGTAGTATCACTAGTAGTATCAGTAGTAGTATCACTAGCAGTATCACTAGTAGTATCACTAGTAGTATCACTAGTAGTATCAGTAGTAGTATCACTAGTAGTAGTATCACTAGTAGTATCACTAGTAGTATCACTAGTAGTAGTATCAGTAGTAGTATCAGTAGTAGTATCACTAGTAGTATCACTAGTAGTATCACTAGTAGTAGTATCACTACTAGTAGTATCACTAGTAGTATCACTAGTAGTATCACTAGTAGTATCACTAGTAGTAGTATCACTAGTAGTATCAGTAGTAGTATCAGTAGTATCACTGGTAGTATCACTAGTAGTATCAGTAGTAGTATCACTAGTAGTATCAGTAGTAGCATCAGTAGTAGCATCAGTAGTAGTATCAGTAGTAGGAGTGTCAGAAGTAGGAGTATCAGTAGTAGTAGTATCAGCAGTAGGAGTATCAGCAGTAGTAGTATCAGCAGTAGGAGTGTCAGCAGTAGTAGTATCAGTAGTAGTAGTATCAGTAGTAGTATCAGTAGTAGTAGTATCAGTAGTAGTAGTATCAGCAGTAGTAGTATCAGCAGTAGGAGTATCAGCAGTAGGAGTATCAGCAGTAGGAGTATCAGCAATAGGAGTATCAGTAGTAGTAGTATCAGTAGTAGTATCAGTAGTAGTAGTATCAGTAGTAGTAGTATCAGCAGTAGTAGTATCAGCAGTAGGAGTATCAGCAGTAGGAGTATCAGCAGTAGGAGTATCAGCAGTAGGAGTATCAGCAGTAGGAGTGTCAGCAGTAGGAGTGTCAGCAGTAGGAGTGTCAGCAGTAGTAGTATCAGCAGTAGTAGTATCAGTAGTAGTATCAGCAGTAGGAGTATGAGCAGTAGTAGTATCAGTAGTAGTATCAGCAGTAGGAGTATCAGCAGTAGTAGTATCAGTAGGAGTATCAGCAGTAGGAGTGTCAGCAGTAGGAGTGTCAGCAGTAGTAGTATCAGTAGTAGTAGTATCAGCAGTAGGAGTATCAGCAGTAGGAGTGTCAGCAGTAGGAGTATCAGCAGTAGTAGTATCAGCAGTAGTAGTATCAGTAGTAGGAGTATCAGCAGTAGTAGTATCAGCAGTAGTAGTATCAGCAGTAGGAGTATCAGCAGTAGGAGTATCAGCAGTAGTAGTATCAGCAGTAGTAGTATCAGCAGTAGGAGTATCAGCAGTAGTAGTATCAGCAGTAGTAGTGTCAGCAGTAGGAGTATCAGCAGTAGTAGTATTATCAGTAGTAGTATCAGCAGTAGTATCAGCAGTAGTAGTATCAGCAGTTGTAGTATCAGTAGTAGGACTATCAGTAGTAGTAGTATCAGCAGTAGGAGTGTCAGCAGTAGGAGTATCAGCAGTAGGAGTGTCAGCAGTAGGAGAATCAGCAATAGTATCAGTAGTAGTATCAGCAGTAGGAGTATCAGCAGTAGTAGTATCAGTAGTAGTAGTATCAGCAGTAGTAGTATCAGTAGTAGTATCAGCAGTAGGAGTATCAGCAGTAGTAGTATCAGTAGGAGTATCAGCAGTAGGAGTGTCAGCAGTAGTAGTATCAGCAGTACGAGTATCAGCAATAGTAGTATCAGTAGTAGTAGTATCAGTAGTAGTAGTATCAGCAGTTGTAGTATCAGCAGTAGTAGTATCAGCAGTTGTAGTATCAGTAGTAGTAGTATCAGCAGTAGGAGTATCAGTAGTAGTAGTATCAGCAGTAGTAGTATCAGTAGTAGTAGTATCAGCAGTAGGAGTATCAGCAGTAGTAGTATCAGCAGTAGTAGTATCAGTAGTACTAGTATCAGCAGTAGTAGTAGGAGTGTCAGTAGTAGTATCAGCAGTAGTAGTATCAGCAGTAGGAGTATCAGTAGTAGTAGTAGTATCAGCAGTAGGAGTATCAGTAGTAGTAGTATCAGCAGTAGTAGTATCAGTAGTAGTATCAGCAGTAGGAGTATCAGTAGTAGTAGTATCAGCAGTAGTAGTAGGAGTGTCAGTAGGAGTATCAGTAGTAGTAGTATCAGTAGTAGTATCAGCAGTAGTAGTATCAGCAGTAGTAGTATCAGCAGTAGGAGTGTCAGCAGTAGTAGTATCAGCAGTAGTAGTATCAGCAGTAGGAGTGTCAGCAGTAGGAGTGTCAGCAGTAGGAGTATCAGCAGTAGTAGTATCAGTAGTAGTAGTATCAGTAGTAGTAGTATCAGTAGTAGTAGTATCAGCAGTAGTAGTATCAGCAGTAGTAGTATCAGTAGTAGTAGTATCAGCAGTAGGAGTGTCAGCAGTAGGAGTATCAGCAGTAGTAGTATCAGCAGTAGTAGTATCAGCAGTAGGAGTGTCAGCAGTAGGAGTGTCAGCAGTAGGAGTATCAGCAGTAGTAGTATCAGTAGTAGTAGTATCAGTAGTAGTAGTATCAGTAGTAGTAGTATCAGCAGTAGTAGTAGTATCAGTAGTAGTAGTATCAGCAGTAGGAGTATCAGCAGTAGGAGTATCAGCAGTAGGAGTATCAGCAGTAGTAGTATCAGTAGTAGTAGTATCAGCAGTAGGAGTATCAGTAGTAGTAGTAGTATCAGCAGTAGGACTATCAGTAGTAGTAGTATCAGCAGTAGTAGTAGTATCAGTAGTAGTAGTATCAGCAGTAGGAGTGTCAGCAGTAGGAGTATCAGCAGTAGGAGTATCAGCAGTAGTAGTATCAGCAGTAGGAGTATCAGCAGTAGGAGTATCAGCAGTAGTAGTAGGAGTGTCAGTAGGAGTATCAGCAGTAGTAGTATCAGCAGTAGTAGTATCAGCAGTAGTAGTAGGAGTATCAGTAGGAGTATCAGCAGTAGCAGTATCAGTAGTAGTAGTATCAGCAGTAGTAGTAGGAGTGTCAGTAGGAGTATCAGTAGTAGTATCAGTAGTAGTAGTATCAGCAGTAGTAGTATGAGCAGTAGTAGTATCAGCAGTAGGAGTATCAGCAGTAGTAGTATCAGTAGTAGTAGTATCAGCAGTAGTAGTAGGAGTGTCAGTAGGAGTATCAGCAGTAGGAGTATCAGCAGTAGTAGTATCAGCAGTAGGAGTATCAGAAGTAGTAGTATCAGCAGTAGTAGTATTAGCAGTAGTAGTATCAGCAGTAGGAGTATCAGTAGTAGTAGTATCAGCAGTAGTAGTATCAGTAGTAGTAGTATCAGCAGTAGTAGTATCAGCAGTAGGAGTATCAGCAGTAGTAGTATCAGTAGTAGTAGTATCAGCAGTAGTAGTATCAGTAGTAGGAGTATCAGCAGTAGTAGTATCAGCAGTAGTATCAGCAGTAGGAGTATCAGCAGTAGTAGTATCAGTAGTAGTAGTAGTATCAGCAGTAGTAGTATCAGCAGTAGTAGTATCAGCAGTAGGAGTATCAGCAGTAGTAGTATCAGTAGTAGTAGTATCAGCAGTAGGAGTATCAGCAGTAGTAGCATCAGCAGTAGTAGTATCAGTAGTAGTAGTATCAGCAGTAGGAGTATCAGCAGTAGGAGTATCAGCAGTAGTAGTATCAGCAGTAGTAGTATCAGCAGTAGTAGTAGGAGTGTCAGTAGGAGTATCAGCAGTAGGAGTATCAGTAGTAGTAGTATCAGCAGTAGTAGTTTCAGTAGTAGGAGTATCAGTAGTAGGAGTGTCAGCAGTAGTAGTATCAGCAGTTGTAGTATCAGCAGTAGTAGTATCAGCAGTAGGAGTGTCAGCAGTAGGAGTATCAGCAGTAGTAGTATCATCAGTAGTAGTATCAGCAGTAGGAGTGTCAGCAGTAGGAGTGTCAGCAGTAGGAGTATCAGCAGTAGTAGTATCATCAGTAGTAGTATCAGTAGTAGTAGTATCAGCAGTAGGAGTATCAGTAGTAGTAGTATCAGCAGTAGTAGTAGGAGTGTCAGTAGGAGTATCAGTAGTAGTAGTATCAGTAGTAGTAGTATCAGCAGTAGTAGTATCAGCAGTAGTAGTAGGAGTGTCAGTAGGAGTATCAGCAGTAGGAGTATCAATAGTAGTAGTATCAGCAGTAGGAGTATCAGCAGTAGTAGTATCAGTAGTAGGAGTATCAGTAGTAGGAGTGTCAGCAGTAGTAGTATCAGTAGTAGGAGTATCAGTAGTAGGAGTATCAGTAGTAGTAGTATCAGTAGTAGGAGTGTCAGCAGTAGGAGTGTCAGTAGTAGGAGTGTCAGCAGTAGGAGTATCAGTAGTAGTAGTATCAGCAGTAGTAGTATCAGCAGTAGTAGTAGGAGTGTCAGTAGGAGTATCAGCAGTAGGAGTATCAGTAGTAGTATCAGCAGTAGGAGTATCAGCAGTAGTAGTATCAGTAGTAGGAGTATCAGTAGTAGGAGTGTCAGCAGTAGTAGTATCAGTAGTAGGAGTATCAGTAGTAGGAGTATCAGTAGTAGTAGTATCAGTAGTAGGAGTGTCAGCAGTAGTAGTATCAGTAGTAGGAGTATCAGTAGTAGGAGTATCAGTAGTAGTAGTATCAGTAGTAGGAGTGTCAGCAGTAGGAGTGTTAGTAGTAGGAGTGTCAGCGGTAGGAGTGTCAGCAGTAGGAGTGTCAGCAGTAGGAGTATCAGCAGTAGTAGTATCAGCAGTAGTAGTATCAGTAGTAGGAGTGTCAGCAGTAGTAGTATCAGTAGTAGTAGTATCAGCAGTAGTAGTATCAGTAGTAGTAGTATCAGTAGTAGGAGTATCAGTAGTAGGAGTATCAGTAGTAGTAGTATCAGTAGTAGGAGTATCAGTAGTAGGAGTATCAGTAGTAGTAGTATCAGTAGTAGGAGTGTCAGCAGTAGGAGTGTCAGTAGTAGGAGTGTCAGCAGTAGGAGTATCAGTAGTAGTAGTATCAGCAGTAGTAGTATCAGCAGTAGTAGTAGGAGTGTCAGTAGGAGTATCAGCAGTAGGAGTATCAGTAGTAGTATCAGCAGTAGGAGTATCAGCAGTAGTAGTATCAGTAGTAGGAGTATCAGTAGTAGGAGTGTCAGCAGTAGTAGTATCAGTAGTAGGAGTATCAGTAGTAGGAGTATCAGTAGTAGTAGTATCAGTAGTAGGAGTGTCAGCAGTAGTAGTATCAGTAGTAGGAGTATCAGTAGTAGGAGTATCAGTAGTAGTAGTAGTATCAGTAGTAGGAGTGTCAGCAGTAGGAGTGTCAGTAGTAGGAGTGTCAGCAGTAGGAGTATCAGTAGTAGTAGTATCAGTAGTAGGAGTATCAGTAGTAGGAGTATCAGTAGTAGTATCAGTAGTAGGAGTGTCAGCAGTAGTAGTATCAGTAGTAGGAGTATCAGTAGTAGGAGTATCAGTAGTAGTAGTATCAGTAGTAGGAGTGTCAGCAGTAGTAGTATCAGTAGTAGGAGTATCAGTAGTAGGAGTATCAGTAGTAGTAGTATCAGTAGTAGGAGTGTCAGTAGGAGTATCAGCAGTAGGAGTATCAGTAGTAGTAGTATCAGTAGTAGGAGTATCAGTAGTAGGAGTATCAGTAGTAGTAGTATCAGTAGTAGGAGTATCAGTAGTAGTAGTATCAGTAGTAGGAGTGTCAGTAGGAGTATCAGCAGTAGGAGTATCAGTAGTAGTAGTATCAGTAGTAGGAGTATCAGTAGTAGGAGTATCAGTAGTAGTAGTATCAGTAGTAGGAGTATCAGTAGTAGTAGTATCAGTAGTAGGAGTGTCAGTAGGAGTATCAGCAGTAGGAGTATCAGTAGTAGTAGTATCAGTAGTAGGAGTATCAGTAGTAGGAGTATCAGTAGTAGTAGTATCAGTAGTAGGAGTGTCAGCAGTAGGAGTATCAGTAGTAGTAGTATCAGTAGTAGGAGTGTCAGCAGTAGTAGTATCAGTAGTAGGAGTATCAGTAGTAGGAGTATCAGTAGTAGTAGTATCAGTAGTAGGAGTGTCAGCAGTAGGAGTGTCAGTAGTAGGAGTGTCAGCAGTAGGAGTATCAGTAGTAGTAGTATCAGTAGTAGGAGTGTCAGCAGTAGTAGTATCAGTAGTAGGAGTATCAGTAGTAGGAGTATCAGTAGTAGTAGTATCAGTAGTAGGAGTGTCAGCAGTAGGAGTGTCAGTAGTAGGAGTGTCAGCAGTAGGAGTATCAGTAGTAGTAGTATCAGTAGTAGGAGTGTCAGCAGTAGTAGTATCAGTAGTAGGAGTATCAGTAGTAGGAGTATCAGTAGTAGTAGTATCAGTAGTAGGAGTATCAGTAGTAGGAGTATCAGTAGTAGTAGTATCAGTAGTAGGAGTGTCAGCAGTAGGAGTGTCAGTAGTAGGAGTGTCAGCAGTAGGAGTATCAGTAGTAGTAGTATCAGTAGTAGGAGTGTCAGCAGTAGGAGTGTCAGTAGTAGGAGTGTCAGCAGTAGGAGTATCAGTAGTAGTAGTATCAGTAGTAGGAGTGTCAGCAGTAGGAGTGTCAGTAGTAGGAGTGTCAGTATCTTCATAACACAACTCCCAATTCCTCCCCCCCCTCCCCCACCTGTCCCCCCTCCCCCCTCCCTCCCCTCCCCCCTCCCCCCCCTCCTCCCCCCTCCCCTACCTCCACTCCCCTCCCCCCCCTCCCCCACCTCTCCCCCTCCCTCCCTACCTCACCCCCCTCCCCCCTCCCCCCGTGTGCCCAGGCCCCGTGACTGAGGTGCGCACTGATATCTACGTCACGAGCTTTGGTCCCGTGTCTGACGTGGAGATGGTGAGGCCTGGAATCTCGTCAACATCATCAGCAGCATCATCAGCATCAGCAGCAGCATCACCATCATCAGCAGCAGCATCATCATCACCATCATCATCAGTACTATCATCACCATCAGCAGCAGCATCATCATCATCATCACCATCATCAGCAGCATCATCATCAGCATCATCATCACCATCATCACCATCAGCAGCAGCATCATCAACATCATCATCACCATCATCATCATCACCATCAGCAGCAGCATCATCATCATCAGCAGCAGCAGCAGCATTATCATCACCATCATCATCATCAGCAGCATCATCATCATTAGCAGCAGCATCATCATCACCATCATCACCATCAGCAGCAGCATCATCAACATCATCATCACCATCATCATCATCACCATCAGCAGCAGCATCATCATCAGCAGCAGCAGCAGCATTATCATCACCATCATCATCATCAGCAGCAGCATCATCATCATCAGCAGCAGCAGCATCATCATCATCACCATCACAATCAGCAGCAGCATCATCATCAACATCATCATCACCATCATCATCATCACCATCAGCAGCAGCATCATCATCAGCAGCAGCAGCATTATCATCACCATCATCAGCATCATCATCATCATCAGCAGCAGCAGCAGCATCATCATCATCACCATCACCAACATCATCATCATCGTCAACATCATCATCACCATCATCATCATCGTCAACATCATCACCATCATCATCATCATCGTCAACATCATCACCATCATCATCATCGTCAAGATCATCATCATCATTAACATCATCATCAGCATCATCATCACCATCATCATCATCATCGTCACCATCATCATCACCATCATCACCATCAGCAGCAACATCAGCACCATCATAACCATCATCATCACCATCATAACCATCATCACCATCATCACCATCATCACCATCATCATCACCATCATCACCACCACCATCACCATCGTCCCCGTGTGTCTCTCCCAGTCTCCCCATCTCCCTATCTCCCTCTCTCTGTGTCTCTCTGTGTCTCTCTGTGTCTCTCTGTCTCTCTGTGTCTCTGTGTCTCTCTCTCTCTCTGTCTCTCTCTGTCTCTCTGTGTGTCTCTATCTCTCTGTGTCTCTCTGTGTCTCTGTGTCTATCTAACTGTGTCTCTGTAGGAGTACACATGGACGTGTTCTTCTCTCTCTCTCTGTGTCTCTCTCTGTGTCTCTCTGTCTCTCTACCTGTGTCTCTGTGTCTCTATGTGTCACTCTGTGTCTCTATCTGTCACTCTGTCTCTCTGTGTCTCTCTGTCTCTCTCTCTGTGTCTCTGTGTATATCTCTGTGTCTCTCTGTGTCTCTCTGTCTCTCTCTGTGTCTCTGTGTGTCTCTCTGTGTCTCTGTCTCTCTGTGTCTATCTAACTGTGTGTCTCTCTGTCTCTCTCTGTGTCTCTGTAGGAGTACACTATGGACGTGTTCTTCTCTCTATCTCTGTCTCTCTGTGTCTATCTAACTGTGTCTCTGTCTCTCTGTGTCTCTCTAACTGCGTGTCTCTGTGTCTCTCTGTGTCTCTCTCTGTCTCTCTCTCTGTGTCTCTATGTGTCTCTCTCTCTAACTGTGTGTCTCTGTGTCTCTCGGTGTCTCTGTGTCTATCTAACTGTGTCTCTGTGTGTCTCTGTAGGAGTACACCATGGACGTGTCCTTTTCTCTCTCTCTGTGTCTCTGTGTCTCTCTAACTGTCTCTCTGTGTCTCTGTGTCTCTCTAACTGTCTCTCTGTGTCTCTGTGTCTCTCTCTGTGTCTCTGTGTCTCTGTGTCTATCTAACTGTGTCTCTGTCTCTCTCTGTGTCTCTGTGTCTCTCTAACTGTGTGTCTCTGTGTCTCTCTGTGTCTCTATAACTGTGTCTATCTAACTGTGTGTCTCTGTGTGTCTCTGTAGGAGTACACCATCGACGTGTTCTTCTCTCTCTCTGTGTCTCTGTGTCTCTCTGTGTCTCTGTCTCTCTCTCTGTGTCTCTCTAACTGTGTCTCTGTCTCTCTCTCTGTGTCTCTGTGTGTGTCTCTCTGTGCGTCTCTGTGTCTCTGTAGGAGTACACCATGGACGTGTTCTCTCTCTCTCTCTCTCTGTGTCTCTGTGTCTCCGTGTCTATCTAACTGTGTCTCTGTCTCTCTCTGTGCCTCTGTGTCTCTGTGTCTCTCTAACTGGGTCTCTGTGTCTCTGTAGGAGTACACCATGGACGTGTTCTCTCTCTCTGTGTGTCTCTCTCTGTCTCTCTGTGTCTATCTAACTGTGTCTCTGTCTCTCTCTCTGTGCCTCTGTGTCTCTGTGTCTATCTAACTGTGTCTCTGTGTCTCTGTAGGAGTACACCATGGACCTGTTCTTCTCTCTCTCTCTGTGTGTCTCTCTGTGTGTCTGTGTGTGTCTCTCTCTCTCTCTGTGTCTCTATGTGTCACTCTCTCTCTCTGTGTCTCTGTGTGTCTCTCTGTGTCTATATAACTGTGTCTGTGTGTCTCTGTGTGTCTCTCTGTCTCTCTCTGTGTCTCTGTGTCTCTCTAACTGTGTCTATCTAACTGTGTGTCTCTGTGTGTCTCTGTAGGAGTGCACCATGGACGTGTTCTCTCTCTGTCTCTCTGTGTCTATCTAACTGTGTCTCTCTGTGGCTATCTAACTGTGTCTCTGTGTGTCTCTCTGTGTCTATCTAACTGTGTCCATCTAACTATGGGTCTCTGTGTGTCTCTGTAGGAGTGCACCATGGACGTGTTCTCTCTCTCTATCTAACTGTGTCTCTGTGTCTCTGTGTCTCTCTGTGTCTCTCTATCTCTCTCTGTGTCTCTGTGTCTCTCTAACTGTGTCTATCTAACTGTGTGTCTCTGTGTGTCTCTGTAGGAGTACACCATGGACGTGTTCTCTCTCTCTGTCTCTCTGTGTCTATCTAACTGTGTCTCTCTGTGTCTATCTAACTGTGTCTGTGTGTCTCTGTGTCTATCTAACTGTGTCTATCTAACTGTGTGTCTCTGTATGTCTCTGTAGGAGTACACCATGGACGTGTTCTCTCTCTATCTAACTGTGTCTCTGTGTCTCTCTGTGTCTCTGTGTGTCTCTAACTGTCTCTGTCTATCTAACTGTGTCTCTGTGTCTCTGTGTCTCTCTAACTCTGTGTCTCTCTGTGTCTCTGTGTCTGTGTGTCTCTGTAGGAGTACACCATGGACGTGTTCTTCTCTCTGTCTCTCTCTCTCTCTGTGTCTCTCTGCCTGTCTCTCTCTGTGTCTCTCTAACTGTGTCTCTGTGTCTATCTAACTGTGTCTATCTAACTGTGTCTCTCTCTGTCTGTAGGAGTACACCATGGACGTGTTCTTCTCTCTAACTGTGTCTCTCTGTGTCTCTGTGTGTCTCTCTGTGTCTCTGTGTCTATCTAACTGTGTCTCTGTGTGTCTCTGTGTGTCTCTGTCTCTGTAGGCGTACACCATGGACGTTTTCTTCTCTCTCTCTGTGTCTCTGTGACTATCTAACTGTGTCTCTGTGTCTCTGTGTCTATCTAACTGTGTCTCTGTGTCTCTCTGTGTCTATCTAACTGTGTGTCTCTGTGTCTCTCTGTGTCTCTGTGTCTCTGTGTGTCTCTCTCTGTGTCTATCTAACTGTCTCTCTCTGTGTCTCTCTAGGAGTACACCATGGACGTGTTCTTCTCTCTCTCTCTGTGTCTCTCTCTCTGTGTCTATCTAACTGCGTCTCTGTGTGTGTGTCTGTGTGTGTCTCTTTGTGTGTCTTTTTGTGTGTCTCTGTGTGTGTCTCTGTTTGTGTCTCTGTGTCTCTGTGTGTGTCTCTGTGTGTGTCTCTGTGTGTCTCTCTCTGTGTCTCTCTCTGTGTCTATCTAACTGTGTCTCTGTGTCTCTCTGTGTCTCTCTAGGAGTACACCATAGACGTGTTCTTCTCTCTCTGTGTCTCTCTCTCTGTGTCTATCTAACTGTGTCTATCTAACTGTGTCTCTGTGTCTATCTAACTGTGTCTCTGTGTCTCTCTAGGAGTACACCATGGACGTGTTCTTCTCTCTCTCTCTCTCTGTGTCTCTCTCTGCGTCTCTCTAACTGTGTCTCTCTCTGTGTCTATCTAACTGTGTCTCTGTGTCTGTGTGTCTCTCTAGGACTACACCATGGACGTGTTCTTCTCTCTCTCTCTGTGTCTCTCTCTGTGTCTATCTAACTGCGTCTCTGTGTCTGTGTGTCTCTCTAGGACTACACCATGGACGTGTTCTTCTCTCTCTCTGTGTCTCTCTCTCTGTGTCTATCTTACTGTGTCTCTGTGTCTCTGTGTCTCTCTAGGACTACACCATGGACGTGTTCTTCTCTCTCTCTGTGTCTCTCTCTGTGTCTATCTAACTGTGTCTATCTAACTGTGTCTCTGTGTCTCTGTGTCTCTCTAGGAGTACACCATGGACGTGTTCTTCTCTCTAACTGTGTCTCTGTGTCTCTCACTGTCTCTCTCTGTGTCTCTCTCTGTGTCTATCTAACTGTGTCTCTCTCTGTGTCTATCTAACTGTGTCTCTCTGTGTCTATCTAACTGTGTCTCTCTGTGTCTCTCTAGGAGTACACCATGGACGTGTTCTTCTCTCTAACTGTGTCTCTCTCTGTGTCTATCTAACTGTGTCTCTGTGTCTATCTAACTTTGTCTCTGTGTCTCTGTCTCTGTGTCTCTCTAGGAGTACACCATGGACGTGTTCTTCTCACTCTCTCTGTGTCTCTCTCTGTGTCTCTCTAACTGTGTTTCTCTCTGTGTCTATCTAACTGTGTCTCTCTCTGTGTCTATCTAACTGTGTGTCTCTCTAGGAGTACACCATGGACGTGTTCTTCTCTCTCTGTGTCTATCTAACTGTGTCTCTCTCTGTGTCTATCTAACTGTGTCTCTCTCTGTGTCTATCTAACTGTGTCTCTGTGTCTCTCTGTGTCTCTCTAGGAGTACACCATGGACGTGTTCTCTCTCTCTATCTAACTGTGTCTATCTAACTGTGTCTCTGTGTCT